TATTAGTGTTATTTATGGCAGCTACAATTTGCTGAATGGTTACTGCTCCTAATACCTTAGGATTTTTCCAGTTTCAGATTAGAGGACCATGGAGATACAGTGACTTGCCTAAGGTCACACAGCTCTTACATGGTGGGGCCGAGATGGGAAGCCACATCCGACTATTTCCAAAACCCACGTATCTAACCACTACGCTCACTGCTTTTCAGATGCTGGGGTAAGTACAAGACACGCAAAGAGGTGTGCATCCAAGCACACAGCAGAGAGCCCCCTGTGGGTGTACAGGTCAACTCTGAAAGAGAAACGTGCCAACTAAAGTGAGGACTAATGCACTAGGGAGGGAAATTGATTATCTGGCTATTAGTATACGTGTCAAGCCACAGGGATGTCATGTTCAACAGAAACTATACAACTTAGAAGGGGGTCGCGGGTCACAATGAGAAGCCGAAATGACCAAGATGAGGCGCTTAAGCAATACTCATCTATAATAAAGGGAGTGTAAGATGGCTTCCAAAATGAGGGGAATTGTTGCACTAGTGTGTGGGCTATTGGTTTATTTGCCAGGAGACGTGCAGTATTGTGCTGGTTGGCTCAAACATAACCACCCCTTGCCCTTCTGGGAACTTCACTGACTTTGAAAAAGCCCCATGTAGGGAAGTGATCATTTTGAAACCATGGGCTGTGTTCATTGAGAGCCTGACAAGAGCCAGAGGAAGAATTACCAACCTCCCTGCTAATCTGGCTCCTAGTACCATGCATTAAGCCAACTAGTAAAAATCATTATGAAGTTTTTGCTGAAAGGGCAAGTGTAGAAAAACATGTTTCTAAACAGAATAACAGTCTTTGCCATTTTTTTCCAACTTGCATACCATCTGGAAATTCTGATTTTTTTTTTTTTCAAAGGGTAGGAAAGAAATGTGCTCCAGGCACAAATAAATGTTTACAGCTGAGTTATAAACCGAGAATGGTGGGGCTTAAAACAGACAGGCTGGCAGTGATGGAACACGAGCTGCAGCGAGACAATAATGCTGTGGGGGACGGGCCAGCTTGTTTTGCACATTGGCCCTTTTGAATGGGAAGTCTTGCTTCCCACTGACCTCATCAAGCAAATGTTTGGGAGCAAGTCTTCACATCTGGGTTTGTTCTAATTCTTAGAAAGGGAAGAAAAAGATGAAGTGAAACGACGGTGTATCTTGACATTCTGAAGGCAGCCTTCACCTTTGGAAAACACGACACCTCATAAGAAGTGGCAGCCCGGGGATGCTTGTTAAATGGAGCAACTGAGAGATGGCATGCTGATGTCAGTGACAACTAATATTCACGAATCTCTTATTAAGCCCCTGATAACCACACACTGTGTTTTACAAGCATCGTCTCACTTATACTGGATGCCAAGAGGGGGAGAGGTACGTTTTACAGATGAGGAACCGGTGGCTGAGGGAGGACACGTGACCTGCTTGCGTGCATGCAGCTGAGTGCTGGAGCTGGCAGCTGCAACCAGCTGGACCAACTCTAGAGTCTTCTATTACAGAGGATCTGTCGATGGAATGTTACCAAAAATATGTCATCACTGGGTCAAGAAGGAAAGGCTGATATATTGGGAGTTTGGCCTCTTCTGCCTCATCTCCTGTAATTTGTTGTTCTGGTACAGTCCAAGGAAAATAGAAATGGGTTTGCAAATGAGACAGAGCAGCAGGCAAACTTGCACAGTGGGTCAGATAACAAAGACTTTAGGCTTTAGTGGGCCATCTCATCTCTGTTGCATCTACTCCGCTCCATTGCTGTAGTGCAAAAGCAGCCATAGGCAATGCATGAACATGGTTGTGCTCCAATAAAACTTTATTTGCAAAAATACATGGCTGGCCTGATTTGGTCCCCGAGATGTTATTTGCTGACCCCTGATATAGAGGACACCTTGAATTTAAAATGAGTGATGGGTTTTGATCCATGAAATTCTACTTGGGAGTTCATTCTTTCTTAAGATCAGCACACAAATTGGCTACATAGGATATGCCCTTTAAAAGCTCTTGTAGTCTTTGCCTCTGGGCCTAGCCAATCAAACCGGATTCCCTTATGTTATCTGACCAGGTCAGAACACTGTATTGAATGTTCGTTCTCAAGGCTTATCTAATCCCAGATCTATAGAAAAAGTGCTCTGTGCTCTTGTAATGAAGATGTATGAGTTCATTCCTTTTAACATAGAAATACACTCGAGATGGTGAGTAATTCTGGCAGTCTGTGGGCTCCCTTTTCTTGAGGTGAAACCCAACCACCAAAACAACCACGTGAAGGTTTAATTGAAAGAGAGAATGGAGAAAAAAACAAACGAAGAACAACAACAAATGGAAAAGGGAAGACAAAGCCCAAAGAACATACTCTCCTAACTAATTAATCAAGTGCTTTGTTTCCACTAACATATCAGAGTGTGTAGGCTGCCTTGTCTATTAGGCTCCTTTCTAAATCTGAGCAATGTAAACGCTCCTAAAGACCAAGTAATGAAATCTCTATCGATGTGCCATCTTAGCTGGAACTCACATACCCTTGTTTTGCTTACATTTTAATTTGCTTCTGCTGGATAGTTACCCAGTAATTGCTTAATAACATTAACCTCCCTGGCAATGTGTGGTGTATCTTGATTAAAACATTATCGGAGTGAAGGATTATCGTATACCACAAAAAAATGGAGGGGGTGTTATTTAATTAACTTATTGCCAATATATCTTGATTGTCTCTTTGAAACACTGGAAAACTAGTCGATTGGAATTGATTCAGGTTATCTAAATGTATAGAATTGGGGAGTGGGGAGGAGGGAGGTCCCTGCGTAAAGAAACGAAAACCTGAGGTCACTTTTTAAAAAAGATGTAGGGGGAGTGTGAGAAAACGAAAATCTTTCTAGTTATTTTTTTGAACCAAACTTTGCAGCAGCTTAAGAGATCTGCTATCTTCAGTCTTAGGAAGAGTACTATTTTGGTGTTCAGAAAGGAGATGTTCCCAGTTTTCTTTCAAGTTTAAGCAATTTTAAATTCTCACACTTTTTCATAAGAATCCTATTGACAAAATTCATTGGACAACAATTTGGCCACCACTTCTCTGCCTCTTAACTCATTTGGAAAAGAACTGGCGATGTCATATGACTTACACAACATTTTCGAGAGCACGTTGCATCAGAGGGGAAAATTGTGGTCTTTTCCAAAGACACCATGGAAAGTGTTTCTTCATTTGTTAATTCAGAGACACAGTACTCTTAGTTAGGACTTGTTCTCCGCAGGAATCTACCATCTTGCTGGTGTGGGGCTCAAGTGGGGGTGGCCATTGGAAACACAGTTTAATCACGAATGCTCAGAGCGGCTGACCTTAATTTACGGAAGTTAATGCCTATCAGCGACTCTCTTTGGTAAGGGATGCTATTTAAAAAGCATTTGTGTGTAACTTCAGAATATAGACATGTATGAAATACATCCCTGGGCCTGAAGAGCCAATATGCACATTCACTTTCAAATGTGTGTCCTGCATTTTTCTCAAAGGACAGGGCGCTGCTGACTTGCAGATTAAAGGGTGTTCATGGATCAAACAAAGCAGAGACCCTCTAAAGCTGTGTTTCTCAAAGAGCAGCACTGTGGACCTCTTGGGCAGGATCGCTCTTCGCTGTAGGGGCCATCCTGTGCACGTGGGATGTTGAACTGCAGCTCAGCCTCTCCCTGCTAAACGCCACTTTCACCTCCTCTAATTGGGACAACCAAAGAAGTCTTCAGTCACTTGCCCAGTGTCCCCTGGGGTCCGAAACGCCCCGTGGAGGACCACTGTCATAAAGGAAATGGGAGTTGCGGATGGTGTCAAGTACTAGAGCAGAATGGACAGCACATAGGAGGCCAACAGGCACATAGGAGGCTCCAGGCTTTTCGGTCAGTTAAGGCAGAACATGGCCCATTAAGGCAAAATACACTCTCCATCTTTAGGTCTAGTTATAGTTACCTGATAAAGGAAGGCATAGAATTTCATCCTCAGATAAAACTTTTTCATGCTTACTTAAAGGTAATTTAGTATTATGATTAGGATAGATGAGTAAAGTGATTCTTAAAGATTAGATAAAAAGACAAAAAAGTCACACTCAAAACCATTAGGACAACTCTGGGGAGAATAATTGAAGCACCAGGAGCATTTCAGGATGACTCACGAACACCTCTGGGGGCTAGAAACTTCTCTGTGTTAAATGACTGTGCTAAGGAAAACGCCGACATCTTGCCCAAAGATGCACAAGGCACAGACTTGAGTTTAAATTCGTCCCTGCCTACATGTTTGATTTGGAGTAAGTTTCTAAAACATCCTGGGCCTCAGTTTCCCTGAGATGATTCCCTCCCGTTAAAGCTGCTGAAGGCAGGAAATGCTAAGCTTGGCACACACCAGGGGTCCAGTAAACGTTCCTTCCTTTCCTGTCTCTGAAATACCTCTGTGGGGTATTTTCAGAAATGTGGGGGCCAACTGCCCAGATGTGCTAAGAGGCAGAGTGGAAGCGTCTGTGTTTGGAGAAGCCCTTCCGTACCACCTCACATGTTGGTGATTTCCATCCAGAATCAAGCACAGCCCACCGGGTGCCTGGAGGCTGCTGTGGTTTTATTAACTGCCCCACTTCCCTGCCTCCCCGCCTCCCCGCCTCCCTGCCTCCCCGCAGTCCTGTTTCTCTCTTCCTTCTTAGCACCTTGTTAGCACCTATTTTTTTCCCTGCAAGAATACAGTTGCTTAATTGCTTCAATAAACATTTCCATGGCCCCCTTTACTGTTCTGAGAAGAGGAGCTTTGTTCCCCAGTTGTCAAAACTCTTTTCTATTCTCTCCCAAAGCGGAACAGCTTAGAATCTCTTTCATGCCAGGCAGCGCTTCCTCCCTGGGGAGGCTGCAGCTCTCCTCTGGGGAGTGGGCTCTGGTCTAGTGGCGTGTGCTGCCTGCTGCTCTCGCCTTTCGTGATTAGGCAGGACTTTCTCCTGCTGCTGCTGCTGCTGCTGCTGCTGCTTCTGCCCAGGCCTTGGGAGGCTTTCAAGTCGCTCCAGATAGCACAGGTATGCACATGGCACAGAGAAGGCACCGTGCCAACTCAGTGACTCCAGCCAAACACAGCTAACAGACAGGAACAGCAAACAGCTTTGAACAGGGGCAAAAAGGGACTATTTTGTCCTCCACCCGCCACCCCCGGTTTCTTTTCCCCTTCGCGTACCTTCCAAGATTTGGATTAGAAAACCTGAACCCATTGGCGGGAGCTCTGAATTTTCCTGTGACCTCAAGAGGGCAAGCAGCCGCTGTAACCTCACCTTTGCCTCCAGATGGCATTGTTGCCACATCATCGTTTCCTGGTAAGCCGGTCCTTATCCCATTGTTAAAGGTGTGCCCGTCGGCCGGCTGCAGTTGCCAATTGAGTCCGAGCAGATGCATTGCTGCAGGAGAGACAAAGTAATGAAAATATGAATAGATAATTCAGCAATGCAAATGTCAAGGGGGTGGGCCAGGTGCCTTTGCCAAGTGATTGCCATTGAAGGAAGCTGCAGTTCAAAACCGGCTTGCCCTGGGCCATGGGGATTAGCTAAGTACAGAAAGCAAGTAGTGGCTCCTCTCCCTGGGCTTCTGTTCATCGCCTTGGGGGAGAGGATCCGGAAGGTGGCGGAGGAGGTAAGAGAAATCCTAGTTCAGACCGTCTGAATGGTGCTACCAAGGAGGGGGAAATGTCCCTTTGTGGAGTCACTGTCAAGGATTCTGCTCCATCATGTCCAGCCTCCCCCACAGTGTAGACGTGGTTGTTGATAGACTGGTGGTCCGGGGGCATTGGCAAGGATAGCTTCACCCAAACTACTCAAAACATAAATCGGTTTCAAAATGGGACTAGCCAAATGGGACCTGTCTGCGGGTGTGACTGTAGCTACCCTGGGTTAGCAATGCAGCAGGTTGTGTCAGACCCACCAGAAAGCTCACCTTTCCATTCCAAGCTTTCCAACCGCTTTTCCTGCTAAGTGCATCCCTTTCAGCCCATTGTGGGAAAAGCTTGGGGGGTGGTGGTAGAACAGGGCCCTTTCCAGAAAATATTACTATTATACTTTCTTCTCTCTCACACCCTGCGCCCACACCGCCACACTACTGGACAGAATGAGCCAGAGCACAAAGGCGCTGTGCTAAGGAGGCAAGCCTGTCTGTCTTGCTTTACTTCCCCGTGCACAGTACACCTCCAAACACAAACTTCCTTCCAACCTTCTGGTCTTCCTCGTCACCCTGTGCCAGCTCCCCACTTCCCTGGGGGTTTAGCAAGCTCAATCCCCCCTATCTCCATGGTTCTAGGTGAGTTGTCGTCAGGACAATGGCTGGGAGAGAAAGGCAAATCCCAAACACCTATATTCTTTCAAAGTCCCTATCTAAGACATGCTTCATTTGCAAATAAATAAGGAGTTCATTCCCCTGCATCCTGCCTATTCAAACAATAACTGGGGGCAGCACTCTGTCTGTCTGGCATTTCAATCGGACACAGGTTGATGCTGTGGCTACGGTTCCGGGACTGCAGGAGAGAAAGGGCTGTTGACAGGGAAAGGTTCTGAGTATGATGCGGGATGGGAGAAACAATTAACCACAGGAAACGCAATTAACAATGCTTAGGAAATTGTTCACACAGCAATTAATTCTGCATGCCTCCCACCACTTAAAGTCAGGCTGCATTCTATTAAGGTTAAAAACCTATCTTCAAACAATACAGCTCAGATTGATGGTCGCAGATTAAGGTGCCAAGTAGTCCCTGGGTGTATGTCTGCTTTTTTCTTACATACTTCCCCATAGCAGAACCACATCCGCCCCCCCTCCCCATACATTACTTTGAAGTGCAAGGCAACTCTTTGAGATGATAAATACTAATAAGAATAAGTGACATTTACTGTACAGTTTCTGTCAAGGTAACACCTAATTTTCTCCTGCAGTTTATCCGTTATATGTAGGTCACTCACTTGAAGAGACCGGATTCCGTTGCCTCAAATAGTGACATATTTCTCTGTTCAGTGAAAACTGTACAGAGGTCAGGAAATGAGAACTAATCATGGCTGCTTCAAGATAACGATAGCTTCTGATTTGTAATTACCAGGTGAAGGAAGCCAAGGAATTAGCTATTTTAGAAGGATTCCTTTTTTAATGTTGTTCTTGGGTTCTTGGGGCTTGCCTGGAGCTAGCCTGCTGCCAATGTGGAGGGGTGGATCTTTCACGGCGGGGGGAGGGGGAAGAGTGTCTCCCTGTGTTTTAAGACAGATGCGGACAGGTGCTGGTGCAGCTGGGACTCCCACCTACCAAAGCCCGGATTTTCGCATCTACGGAAGGAAGCGGGGTTCTGTTAGGCAAGAACGGCAGCCTCCCCGATGCCCCATGAGTGTGAGATCTCTTTTCAGAGTTGTTGCCCTCTTCTAATACCCCGGAACATGCCGCGACCATCAGCTTTGAGAGGACAGCAAGCAGATAAAACCCTTATCTTGCTGCATGGAAAGAGAGCATTCATGAAACCGTGTTTTCTTTGTTTCTGGGGATGCTCACCCTTCCCTTTTTGTTTTGGATTCCATAGCATCTCTTTATTTAAAAAATTTTTAAAAAAGTATTCTGAGAACAAGAAGACTAGAGAAGGGATGAGAAGGGTGAGGGTCGGAGTTTACAAGTAACTGCTCAGACAGCTCCCAGAAGTGAAAAGAAAAATAAGAAAGTGAGAGGGAGATGGGAAAAGGGGAAAAGCCAGATCTGCGGAGTGTAAGCTCTGTCGTCCCAGCAGAAGCGAGGCAACAAAAATGAAACTCAAGTTTGGGCATATTTTCTGTTGTTGAGTTGAACGTTAAGTAAATAAGTGAGAATTATATCAGGGGTATAAACACCTTCTTTTGTTTTTTGGGAGGGAGTCTGAAATAGGCTTTTGTTTGTACTTTTTTTTTTTTTTTTTCTTGATCAGCTACTTCTTCTCTCTTGAGTAAGCAAATGGGAATATCTTTCTGGCCTAGGGGGATGGACGAAAGTGTCCTTAGGATAAGGACCCAGGGGAGCTGTGAAGTAAATGAGTTTCCTGACTAATGAGAAATCTGTTTCTTATTCTGCTACTGATTTGCTCTATGGCTGGGGCTGAGAAATCCATTCCCTCCAACCATCTCTCCCTTTGCCTTCTGAAAAGGTTTCCCTTTCCAGGTGGAGTAATGGCTGCTGAGGGCCTGGGAGAGGTTGAGCATCTACCTCCAGAGATCTAGCAGAGGGTCTCGAATCTAGGAAGCACTCCATAAATGTTTATTAGGATAGATAAGGACACCTGGGGGGCAGATACGAAGGGTTGGACTGCAGGACATTGTACTCTCGCAAATCAAAACCCACCCCACAGAGGTGTGAAGGGTGGCGTACAAGAGTGCTGGCAGCAATAAGGATAAGTCTGCCCAGAGGAGGGTCTGTCAAGGCCGGCCGCCCATCCCCGAACCCCGCCTCTGGCCCGCAGTGTAGGAGACACTCTGCAGAGGTCATCTTCATCAAGCGTAACGGCTTACATTCAGGACGGTACTGTCCTATCCCCACTTCACAGACAAAGAGACTGTTGACTATGAGGTTTGATCCCCCGGTGGTTTCAGAATCAGAGGGAGATTACAGTGGGAAGGGGTTATCTGCTTCGTATTCCACAGTGATCTGGGTACAAATTCTAGTTTGCAATGGGATCTCGCCAAACCTTGTCTCTTGAAACTCAACGATCACCACACTGTGATTGCTGAGTGACCGTCTTCTCTATTCAGCACCCTTTCATGGGGGGGATACACCTCCTCCTCTTGTTGGATTCAGATGCGGCCACGTGACCCGGCAGCACACACACTTGTTTGCCTTTTTGCCCTGCCACGTGGTCAGCGATGGTTCAGTCTTGAGCCGTGTCTGACCCGTGAGAAGACACAGCAGGAGTGAAGAAATAAACTGTTAGTGCCATAAGCCGCTCGGAGTCCGGGGTTCTTTGTTCTAACAGCATGGCTGAGACCTCCCGGACTGAGACGTTCACTTACCACAGCCCCCACTTACCTACGGGGCATATGTGCCAAGACCCCCCATGGATGCCTACAACCGTGGACAGTACTGAACACTATATACACACCTATGACAAAGTTTAATCTATAAATGAGGCACAGTAAGAGATTATGATGATAACTCATTATAATACAGAACCATATAAAAATATACGGTCACAAAAGTTGTGTGAAGGTGGTCTCTCTCTCTCAAAGTATCTCACTATGCTGTCCTCGCCCGTCTTCTTGCGATGGTATGAGCCAATAAAACGTTTCCATGATGAGACGAAGTGAGGTGAATGGCGTGGGCACTGTGACACAGCATTTAGCTACTACAGACCTTCTGACCACTCCATCCGTAGGAGCAGCACCTGCTTCCAGACTGCTGAACCTCAGAAAGCAGAACTGTAAGCCCAGTCAGACCTCCCATTTCTACACAACGGGCATCTGTGCATTCCTCCCTTCAAGTTATTTATGTATTCAGTCAGGATCCTTTCTAAAAACCAGCCAGGAAAAGCTAGGACCGCTTCCTACTTAGGGTCACTACATTTGCTTCTATGAACAGCAACAACACAAATAGCTCTTTAAATATTATGTCATTAAATATCCAGCTGTGATCCACTCTCAGATTCAGAGTTAGAAAGTCTCAAGATCTTGGGCGAACTCCAGCCTCATCAACTTAGGTTTTCTCCAATGAGGCTTCTTGGATGCGGAGGGGTGGTCCCCTCTCGCTCCCCGCAAATGCTCTTGCTGCTCCTCCCCAAAAGGTCCTGTTCAGACCATCCTAGGGTCAGAAGTGAAATGAGTTTGGGAGGTCCTCTCCCTCAGGGGACTTACCCCCACTGACAGCCAAAACGCACAATTTATCATGATTTGGCAGGTGCTGCTCCAGAGAGACCTCTGATGGAACAATGGGGCTCCATGGGTCAGCAAGGATGGAACGGGGAAGAGCTCCAAGTGGAAGTTCGTGTAATCCAGGTGGCAGCTGGGAAATCAGCCACTAAAAACACGAGAGGCAGCCAAGCCCTGCAAGTATCCCTCTGGCTCAGTGGAGAGAACTTTCATCAATGTTGAAAGTGAACCAAGGCAGGGTGGACAGACCACACACAGATCCCAGATTTCAGCAAGAATAATAAACAGACCCACTTGGAGTTTGGGTGGTATTTCCTTAGCGAGGTGGCCTGTGTTTGTGCCAGAGGGGCTCTAGGAGAAATGCCCCAAGGGGGAAGAAGGGAAGATTCAGGGGGAAGGGTTGCTTGCAGGTACCAGAATCCCCCAGCAACCACAGGACCAGAGATGTTAGGCCCCAAAAAGGGGCAGCTTGGAATGGGGGCTGTCTGAAATAGTAATTAGGGTATGTGTGGGCCCTGCTGGGTGCCACTTAGAACCTTCCATGTTCATTGGCTGGTAGAGGATCAACCTGACAAGAGAGTCAATCAATATGTCAACAGAGCTTCCCAGAGAGCTGCTCAGCCCCTGCTTGTCAAAGAGGGCAAACACGGGGGCCACGGATGCTCCGTGTTTGCTGAGTAGGCCTCCAGAAGCAGGGGGTGTCTTTAAAGATCAGGCTTGTCGATACATAACCAGAGGGAGAGATTGGGCTTTCCCTTTGAAAATGGAAGCCTGGAGGCCACGCAGGGCTCAGGAAACAGGAGGAGGGAGCCTTGCCTGCTGATTCTTGTGGCTCAGCGCGTGGCCAGATTCACAAGGGCCTTAGAGACCATGGCAAAGCTCCTTCAGAGACCAAGTCGGCTGGGGCTCCCTATCCCCCCCACCCCGCAGCAGCCAATTTATACAACAGTGCCAGGACTCCCGTGGGAAGTGTAGCCAATTCCAAAAGTGCCACTGCTGAGAGGAGAGAACCACAGTGGAATAATCAGGACTCAGAGGCACAAATGCTCACCCTGAACTTGCACAGGCAATCTGCAAAGGCACTTTTGCAAGCAGTAGTGAAAATTAACACATGCAAATGAGCCTGCTCAGTGATGATGGTGACAATTAACATTTATTTTGGCAATGTGCCAGGGATTGGGCTAATTATGTTAATTGCATCATTTATTCATTACTTATCATTTGGCAAATGTTTCTTGAGCACCTACTGTGCATCGGGTATGTTCTAGGGTCCGGGAATAAAGCAGTTAACAAAGTTCCTTGCTCTCATGGAACTTACATTCTAGTGGGAGACATAGAA